TCGGGGACAGCTACCGCGATGTCATCCAGGAGCTGCACACGGGCCTGGACAGGATGAAGAACCCCATCACCAAGCGCTGGAAACACCTCACGGGGACCCTGATCCTGGTGAACTGTCTGGACGTTCTGAGAGCAGCTGCCTTCAGCCCCGCGGACCAGGACGACTTCGTGATCTGAAGTCCCCCCCGCCTGCTGCTTTCCTGGGGCGCACGCCCTCCGGCCGCCCTGGCTGCCCGTGCGGTCTCGTGGAGCTGGACTGGAGGAAGGGCCCGCCACTCGGACAGGTCCAGAGTCGCTCCCGCCGGCCCACACCCCAGGACCACCACCCCCCATTGTGGGGGGCCTGGAGGGAGTTTGCGCTGCAGGTCATTGCCAATCAAAGAGCTTTCTATTTGTTACGTATAAGTTCAACTTTGAAATCGCTTTTTTTATAGTAGGGGGCGGAGGGCACCTGTGAAAATGGTGGTATCTAATTTTTTAATGGACCGTAAAGGTAAAAACAAACAAACAAACAAAAAAACCAACAGGGGCTGGTGAGGCTTTTATGTTCTATGAAGATCTTTTTAAATTATGCTACGATGTACATATGTATTTAAGAGTCGCCGGGGGCACCCCTTCTTCCCAGACTCCCTGCGTTCCGGCGCCCGGCACGGGAGGGTGCTCGTTCGCGGGCTGGGCCGTCGCACTCTGTACCTGTGAAGAGTGAACCGCGGTGTTTCAGTGCGTGCAGCTCAGGCCCGTCCTCTCTGAGAACGTGGGGGGCCCTGCTCTCCCCGCCAGTGTTTAGCGTGGTCCCTGCCTTTGCCACCCCATGCGGTAAACGACCCGCCACAGCCCACGTGGACCTTTCTGTGGGCAAAGTGAAGGCCGACCTGAGTCCCTGCCGCCCTGGACGTGACGTGCTGGGTGATGGCGACCTTTGCGGCCCGGCCCAGGTGCCGTCGGTCAGGCGAGGGGCTCCTGCGGGGCTCAGCCATCGCCGGCACGTTCGCCCTGGGGCCAGGGACTGCTCCCTGCGGCGTTCCCCTCCGGTGGGCACGAAGGAACTTCGCCACGAGGGACGCGCTGTGCTGTGTGCAAAGGTGCCTGCTGCCGTTTGCCAAACTTCACTCGGTCTAAAATTTAACCCCTCTCCCCTCGCAGTCCACACGTGTCTCCTTGGAAATGATAAGTATGAAGAGACCATTTTCATTGATAACATAAAGACTTTTCTAAGCGAGATGATCATTTTCTGAACGAATATGTTTCCCACGTGAAATCTGGGGCTTGGCCGTGTTGCTCTGATAAGCTGGCCCATTGTAGATCGACTCGCCGTGTTGAATCCCACGATTGCATTGTAGTCGTGACATCTTACAAGGGAGTGAGGGGCAGGTCTGAGGCCAGTCCACAGAGCTGGTCCCCCGGAGGGTGCCAGGACACACGCTGTGTGAAGTGGTGTTGGGCCGCTTGGGGTTCCGAGTGTCATTCTCTAAACGTGCTTTCTTGGAACTCATTAATTACTTACTATAATCCATGTATCACCCCTTATTGAGCTGAAACATTCTTATGTATCTGTCGACTCAGTAACTGAAGATAAACCGGCTAGAACAAAACCACGTGAAAAAAAAAAAACCACGATATGTTTTATGCTGCAAGAAGCAGGACACACAATCCCCCAATCGTCACAGGAAATACCCTCCGATTCTGCTTCTCGACTCTCTGCTTCATCCTTCTCAGAAGTCATCTCCCGCCTTTTCCCCAAAGAAGCAGCAAAACCAGTTGCACCTTAAACCATGGATATTGTTCCTCAGGGGCTTAAAATAGTTTCCTATGCAACACGTCTTGTAGCACAAATTAAATTCTACAAACGTTACAGTAAATTTTATTTGGCTATTTTAACCTATTAAGTGTGTGCGTATTTTTTTCCATACCCAACCAAACTTTAACTAAAACAGTAAAACCTAGTGTAAGTGTCTGTGCGTAGGACGATGGCTCCTTCCGCTAAGTCGCCCCTAAGTGACAGTGTGACAGTCGGGTTAGCGGTCAACTTAATCGCGCTTGGAACATAGGGTCTCATTCTCCACTGACCAGTGGGAATTGGTGCTGCCCAGAGCACCCAAAGGCTTCGAGTGGATGGCTTGCCTTTCTCTTGGCCCCGTGCCCCTGGGACCGCCAGTGTTAATCCCACAATACACAGTCTAGGACTGAGCCTCGTCCCTTAGGGGCTAGCTGCAGCAAGCAGGACTCCCACGGGCCCGCCCTGCCCTGCCCTCCCCGTGCTGTTGGGGTGGGGGGCACTGGGTGGGGTTGCTGATGGCGACCAGCCCAGCCTGGAGGTGGTGGGAGGCGTGGGCTCCAGAAAGCCACTTTAACCCAAGTTCCGAAGGCTCAGTATCAGCCAGCTAGCCCAAGGCCAGGCCAAACCTGGGGGGCAGGGCACGTGCAGCGTTGAGAGGGTATGGGGGCGCGTTGAATGAGCAGGGGCGGCCTCTGAGGGCTGCAGCACGGCCCATGTTCGTTCCAGCCCCGCTAGCTAAGTCTCCACACCCCTTTTGCAACTGAGGAAAGAAAGGGTTAATGTGATCCTATAACATAGCTGATGACGGGTGGGAGCTCGCACCCAGGGCCACCATGATAGTGCCACAAACTGGGTGGCTAGGAACAGCAGACATTCATTCTCCCAGTCACGGAGGCTGGAAGTCCAAACTCAAGGTGCCACATGGCCACCAGGCATGGACGCGGACCACCTGAATTGAGCTCTAAAGACTCTGTTCCCAATGAGTTCGCATCCATGGCAAGGGGCTGGGACTCGGTGCGTGTGTCTGAGGGACACCGTTCAACCTAGGACACTGCCTCCGGTGCCACGGCCTCCGCAGGTGGCTTGCGTGGGAAGATGGGGAAGGAGCCCATGAGCTCCGCCTCCGCCCAGTGTAATGCAGAAGGCAGAGGCCGGAGGGAGCTTGTCACCCCGGTGGGACCTCTGTGCTCCCCAGACCCACCGTCTCCCTGAGCAGACGCTGTGGTGTCCCCCCCCCGCAACCCCCCACACGTGGCTTCAGTCACCCACGGTCAACCACAGTCGGAAAATATTAAATGGAAAATTCTAGAAATAAATACTCCGTGGGTTTTAAATCGCACACTGTTCTGGGTCTCGTGATGAAGCCTCACACCAGCCCACTCCGACCGCCCAGGACGGAAATCACCCGTCAAACTGTGCCTAGAGTTGGTCCTCAGGCCACCAGGGCTGTGAGGGTTATTCATCATGGCAGCAGGCCCTCACTTAATCAAGGCCGGAGGGGTGAAGGCTCTGCTTTTAGAAGGGGAACAACCTTATCTCACCTGAACTATGTCAGGTAAAGGTGAGAAGGACTTGGTCAAATTTCTTCCTGGCCTATGCAGGTCCAGAATCGGTCAGTAGCAGTCTGAATATGAACACCTTTTATATTCTTACTGGATAATCTCTAGGCCGGTCCGAGATGCTCAGTTAAGATCTCCAGTCCTTTATCCAAGTTGATTTGTCATGGATAATGATAATAATTTGCATATAAAGTTATGGTATTGGTAGGTGTTTTCGTGGACCAAATATTCAGGAAAAAGTTTAGTAGAAAAAAAACTGTGCTTCGATTTCCTAAGTAAAGGGAAACGTCCATAACGAATTCCCACCTCGGTCTTCATGCAGTCACGTCAGATGGGGCGTTCGAGAAATAATTTATTTGCTTTGTGATCACCCAGCCCCGACCCCCTCCGAGCAGTCTTCTGTCACCTGGCTGCAGCGGCCATGCCCAGGCTTGGTCCTGGGACCCTCCCCACCAGCGGTCACCAGATCCCAGCCACCTGCGGGTCATTCCCACGACCACGGCCAGACGACCTTCAGCTTCTCTCTCTGCTCTCGCTCCCTCTTTTGGTTAAACTACTCGCACCGCCCCCCTGGGATGCCTGCCCGCTGTGTCTGCTCCCCCATCCCATCCCTGGGGCACAAGAGTGAGACCCAAAGACCCTCCTGCTCCCTCCTGTGTGGTCGGCTCCGGGCTGAGCGCCCCCACACTCCGACAACGGCGGAAGTCCCTTGACCGCCGTCCCTTCTCGACCTCCCTGCCTTTTTCTGAGCTGTCCCCAGGGGTCTAGCAACCTCGCGTCCCACCAGCTGGCACACCGAGCTCCTGGAGGACAGCGATCACGTCTAAGCTCGTCCTGAGTCCCCAGAGCCGCCTGTCTGCGGTAGAAGTGCGTGTCACAGTGTGAACAGTGTCGGCTGTCGGGGCAGCTAGAATGGGCTCCGTGCTGCGTTCACAGCCACTGTACAAAATGCGTGAAAACTCGTCCTATGGCGACGCGGGCGAACCCGGCTTCGGTTTTAAGGGGCTTCAAAGAGGAACACTGGGCTGATGGAATCAGCATCACGTGTGCCCGAAGCCACTACGTTTCCCGGTGATTCGTTTCCTGGCACGAGGGGAACATTGTCGCTTTGGTCCGTGATTTATGCTGCAATAAAATTTAGTTTTACATAAAATAGACTGGAATGGCTTCGTCTCAAACGGTCAGAAGTAACCTAGTTTGGGGGGCAAAGGGAGTACCGCCAAGTGCCCAGCTTACTCCACACCTGTGGTCTACGACAGGTGTGTCCTGTTTAACCTTTGTGATGACCTTGGTTTCAGAGATGGGGAAACTGAGGCTCAGGAAGGGCACGAGGCACAGAGGCCAGTCCCGAGTTCTGCCCATCCCTGAGTGTGCCCTCGAGCCACTTCAGAAACAGCATTTGAACCACCGCGGGAGCCGCAGAAGCCCCCACCGGAGCAGGGCGGTCCCGCAGACGGCGGCTCTGGGCCCCGCTGCAGTGGGCTGTCGGCCCTCGCAGGCATGTGCAGGACAGGCGTTCCTGGTCTGGGCTCGTTTCCCTAAAATTCTCTAAGTATTTAAAACATGCACACTTAACCAAAGTTTTCCCTTTAAAAAAAAAAGGAAATTCGGCATGATTGAGGTAGGATCGACATATAAACAAAGGTTTCCTTCTTTAAGACCCATCCAAAGGGCTCAGTCTGGATCTGTTACACACTATGAACGTGCTCGGCCCCAGCGAACTGCCGCGGACCGCAGAAAAATGGTTAAGATGGTGAACATTGTTACCTATGTTTTTTTTAATGGGAGAAAAAAGTCCATAGTCCAGTTCCCTGCACGCCAGCGTCCGATTATGCCGAGTAGGGAGTGGAGTCGGGTGGAGTAAGAGTCAGGGGTCTTCACGAACCCCTTTTGCCATGAATGCCTTTTGCAGCTCCAAGAAGCGTGTAGGTTCCTCAGAGGGACATAAAAGCATGAAATAAACCCGCGGCCACAGATGAAAGCAGTTACATTTACATACAGTCACCAAAAGACGTTTTAAATCGTGGCATGGTAATATATGTACTTTTCTATGCATTAAGTAACACGTCCTCGTAGGGGACGTCACTCCGACCATACACACGACGTGGTGAGGACCCTCGTGTTGCCTGCGAAATGTTAATGGACATAAAACTACCTGAGAATTAGAAATCGGTGTCAAAGTCACAGGGCTTTGCAGTAGTGCAGAGGTTCCTTGCCTACATGCAGGCTTGAAGGAAATGCTACGGTCGGTTAGAGGTTAATAAAAATAATGACACGATTTCTTTCCCTTATTAAAAAAAAAAAAAAAGCTCATCCTGAGGAAACCGAATCCCCCAGATGCGCGACACCCCTTGACGTGAATGGCTTCTATTATTTTCCGTATCGGGTTGGCAAGACTGGAATTTGTCAAACTTCGCTGCTCTAATATTCTAACGGGAAGGAAACTTGAAGAAATTCATTGGTTGTGTTGATGTCTTTTTAGGTATCATTTTTTGATTTTCTTAATTTCCCATTTCAATGGCTTTATTTTCTAAAAAACATCTATATACTTGTGTCACCTATGTGCTGCAACTTACGATGTAATTTCCCCTTTTGGGGGTCAGCAAAAGAACCACCAGGCTTGAGGGTGCGGCCCACCCGGGGGAGAGGCAGGCAGCGGGCAGAAGGGCCAGTGGCCGGCGTGTGCCTGCAAGCCGGTCGTGGGCACGCGGAGGGCCGAGGGAGACCAGACCCATCGAGGGCGAGAGAGCCCACCCTTGACTCCGAAGAAGCTCATATTCCAGTAAGGGATCCGGACCCAGGGGAATAGATACCAGCCCCCTCGGCCTCGCCGGCCCCCACACCAGTCCCCAAAGCTGCCCACACCCTCTGAGCAAATCCGCCGTCCAGGACCTCAGTCTGGCATTCGAGGCTGCTCACCCCCGCCCGTCCTCCCACACCTCTCCTCGTCCCGGCCCTTCCCCAGCTTCCCCGAACGACCCACGAGTCCCCAGACTCTGTCTCATCAGGAGGCCTCCCCGGGCTGCCTGCCCTTCGCCCGCCTCGTCCCCTGCAGGCCACATCATTCTCGGTCATAGCTCTCACCTCCACCTGCCCTCACGCCGCATGGCGATCTGGTTTGCCGTCTGTTTCCCCATTAGTGTGGGTGCCATGGGGACAGGGGTGACAGCCCAGGGCCTAGGACAGTGCTGGGCACATAGATTTGCTCAGTTGTTATCTGTCTAGTAAGCCAGATTCTCTGACGAGAATCCTCAGTCTCCTTTGAGGGAGAGGGATGTTTTGGGGATCAAAGCCGGGCAGGCGACACAGCTGAACTGGTAGTAGAATTAGTGGAGGAGAAGCCTGGAGTCCCAAAGCCACTGGCTGACCTGGGTGTCAGAGGACCCAGGATGTGGGAGGCGGAGGAGGGGCAATCGACTCAGTGCGACATCTGACTGGCCGGAGCAGAGAGATCAAGGGGTTGGTGGCCTCTGAGAACATGGCCGTGTCAGGACTGGAGGTCCCAGCCTCCATGAATGACTTTTCCAGTGAAAATGGAGACAGGAT